GGGCCACAAAGTCCTGCACCTGCCACGAAATCTGCACTTCAAGGTCCCAAAAAGTCCTGCGCCTGCCACTGGCCACCAACTCTGCCCTTCAACATCCACAAAGTCCTGCACCTGCCACGAAATGTGCATTGCAAGGTCTACAAAGTACTGCACCTGCCACGAAACACTACGACTACCACTACGATACTGCTGCTATTATAGTACTGTTGCTACTCTTACTGCTACTGCTATTTGGAATAGTTTTTTTGAGTCAGTATTTTTTTTAATTGATGCGTGTAGAATATTTTTCCTTGATAAACTATTATTGTTTTGATCTCTCACCCTTGTTGGAACGGATGGTGTGTGGACGGACCGAACGCTGCCCTCCACACCGAGCGGCGGAACACACCGAAACGAACCGAGCAGAGGGACACCCGAGCAGCGAGGTTTAGTGTCAGGTCGAAGATCGACGGATCGGCGGGGTCATGTATAAACTCTTTGATTACAAGACCCCGCCCATTTGGATGAACGAACTTGCGGACTGTCTAGGTCAGGCGCGCATCCACTCGCCCCCTTGTCACGTTTTGTGACTGGTGGCGGTGGAGGTAGTCTGTGAGACCCTACCGGAACAACTAGTATCCAAAAAAATATGTACACTACGAAATGGACAGGCGAACGAGCAGTGGGAAATGATGTCTTCAAGCAGTTCTTCGAGGGTACTCCTTTACTTAATTTGGATGAATTAACAGGTTTCTTCAACCTAATTTGGACCAGGGTGGATCACAAGATCAAAGCTCTTTTTTCGAAACAGGTAATATCGGATGTGTTGGGTGAATTTCTCCCTCTTATTCATGGCAACTTCAGGCCACTCAGGCCAGGTTGGTGATTGCTCGTTTGTCGAAATAGGGAGAGGCAGAATCTCATTATGGAACGGTGGGTTATGGGGAATGGTAAGAACAAGTTCCTGCATGTACTTGTATGTTTCCGTTGGATTCGGGAGGAGAGGGCGTCGTGAGAGCGTCGTGAGACTCCTGATTCATGATACCGAGAGAACCCCAAGCGGGTCAAGCTAGAGGCCCCTTGCAATTTGTATGCAGGAAGGATTTTAGCGCGTGAAAATGTTTGGATGTGCTTGACTATTGGACGAAATGTCTCCGATAAGACACGAACGGATTTCATTTTGGTAGGTTGTACTGCTGTCTTAGGATCATTATACTCAAGGATATCTGCGGAGGTTTTGTCAGAAACTCGAATCGGTAGCAGGCGTCCTGCCCACAACATAAACGAGACGGTTAATTCTGTCCACGAGATGCCTGGGTCTTTTGGAACGGGAGCTGCGGTTTCTGCTGGCCACTTAATTAGGTTACAGAATTGCCATACCAACCTGGCGTAATTGCACCCCCATGGGCCCATGGGCAAGACCAGAACACAACTCTATGTGGTTCAACTGGCATATCGAATAAAATGCGCGCTGCTGGCCAGTCACGTAATTGTGCTAAATGTTTGGCAAAAGATTGGGTCAATGTCGAACTCTCTGAGTTTTCTTCCCCTGTGGCTGTGCGTTGCGCATCGTCGATCTGGACCTGTCTATTGGTGGATTGACTGTTTTCTTCAAGTTTATTCATCCTTTCGCAAGACAAGTCGAGTAGGTATTTATAAATTTCGGTAAGTTGAGCTTTCTGTGTTTCATAATGCTGGCAAACACTATTGCATGCTGAAATGAACAACCTTTTCTGCCTCTCGGGTTTATGAATCAAGAGACTACATTAGTTCCTCAGTGCTTTGCAATTTTGGGACTTTTGAATGGCGCGGTCTAGTAACTAACTTGCAAAGATTTTTACTCAGTGAAGGACCACCCAACTGGTGGCTATGCCAGGACTCCCTATAATAGTGACTAGTGGTACTTGACACAGGAATTGTTTGTTGATTTGGCTGGACTCCATTGATTCGATGGCTCAGGTAGAAGGACTTGAGATGGTGGAGCGTTGAGACTGCAGACTGCAGCTGTCCAATACACAGTTCAGTTCATTATCCAATGGCAACTTGGAATTCTTATGTTATTATTGTGTTGCTGTCTCGTTGGTTCCTTTGTTTTTTTTTGCAGTGTTCTTTGCCGCCTGTACATGTCAGTAATATGTTAGTGAGCTTTGGCCTTTGGCACAAGCTGTTTTGCCCACTGCCATGGCTAAGACGCCGACGCAAAAAAGAGTGGCAAGGCTGCCACGAAGAAAGGTCCGGAAGAAGCATCAATAGCGAAAGGCCCGTGCCCAAAGCAAAGTGGATGAGCTGGCAGATCGTTTGGCCGGTATTGCCACCACAGAAGCTGCGAGAGAGGGCACAGTGGAGGCAGACGAGGAGATGGAGACAAAGAAGCCGCCAGTGTCGTGGCAGGAGTTGAAGAAAATGAACGCCAAGATTGCAGGCCATGCGCTGGACCGAATTCAAGGATTTGATTAGAAGACTCCAGGATGGCAATGGATTGAAGAAGCGGAAGCGGCCTCCAGATGTCCATTCGGTCGCAACAATGTGTTTATGAGTGTGTTTATGGTGTATCTCCCTCAAACATGTTCAATCCCTTGAGGAACCGGGAACTGTGCAAATCGGAGGTTGCTCAACTGCAAGTTGCTGCTCCAACAGCAACTGTCCCAATTCAACGGTACATTTTTGAATTCCACTTCTCTTCAAGGCCGGGTTGCTCCCAGCTAGGCCAACCAATTGCCAAGTGGCTTTCAACCATCTTTGTTTGGAGATGCGCGCTGACTGGTGCACCATTGTTGGAGAAACACATGTCATCCCCGCCTCTTGGGAGGTTTGGAGGTTGTGATTTCTTGTTGGACTAGGGGTTCATAGAGGCTTTACTGCAGCTGCAACCAAGCCATGCTACACAGATTTGCCACACCAAACACCCAGCCGCGTCGTGGCTTCACGGCTTACGCGCCGTGGCTTCATGGATGAACCCTCAACTGAATGCTCTCGCCATCCGCCATTGGTCGGCTCAGCCATGATGCGAGATCCATGGCATAGGATGGTCGATTGAGTTCCTTTTCTGCAGGCCCGGACTCACCGGAGATCCGTGTGCCTGGCATTAGCTGGGGAAGTTGGGAACGGCAAGGGGTACATAAAGAATGTCCCATCAACACCGGATGGTGTGTGGTATTGTGTAATTAGTCGGAGAAGTCTTTCTTCATGAAACAAGGCGAGCTTGACAATGGTGTATAGGGAACGTATACACTCGGAGGCGCATGTGACGTGAAAGTAAGAATTGCATGGAATTGCCCCCTAAAAGAGGCAAACGTCCTTGAGAACCACCAAAAAGGTGTCCAACTGCATATCTTGATTTACTACATCTTGAGCCTGCCCCCCCGCGGTTTGATCCCAGAATGGAGAAAAAACGAACTGGATATAGCAAATGGATCTCCACCCGACAGACCTCCCCATCTCCGGGAGCACGAGCTGCTTCCCTTTCTCTCTCCAGGGTGGGATGCGGCGGGCGCGAGATCTGCCTGGGCCAGGGCAGTATGAGATCCCGCACTTCTTGTCTCAGAGCACGTGACTGGGCGTAAAACGGGGGCGTGACGGTGAGGGAGAGAGCGCCGCTCGGCTCGTCTGTATACAGCTTTCTTGCATCGAAAGAAGCGGGGTGACTTTCAGGCTGGAGCTGGTGGCAAGAAGTATAAAGACTCTAGAACGATGGACTATGTGTAACATCGACAAAACCATGCTTCCGGAGCGACAGAATCCAGAGAGAGCCCACAGACCATCTACGCATCTATGCGCCACCGGACAAAATCAAAAAACATGCTCCACAGAGTGAAATTTGCTCACCTCTGAGGAGAGCGGTGAGCTTGAAGATCGGCAGCCGCAGTGGTAACCAGTCCGGAGGCCTATGGAATGAGCGAGCTTAGGAACTCTAGTGAACTCGTTGTGAGGCGCTGGGACGGTTTTCACGTTTTTGAACGCCACCCTTCTTCTTCAGGATCAGTCCTGGAACATCCTGGAACAGTGAGCTGAACACGGTCAGCTAGGATTCATTTACTGGTCACTTACGGTACTTTGACACTCGTGATGCTTTTGGGCTCGTGCAGTTGGCATCACTTTGCATTTTGAAGAGGTCCTTATGCTTTTCAGCTTTTCCCATGCTTTTCCACTTCTATTCAACTCTTGGCACGAGGCATTTTTGTGCAGACATGCCCATCAGACCCCTCTCCAGACCACAGCTCATGCTCACACCGAGCCGTCCGAGGATGGAAAGCTCTCCGGGCCCTGCCGATTACGTGGCGCCCCCCCGCGAGCCCGGTGCAGCGCAAAACGAAGCACGTGAGGCCGGCGGGGCGGCCGTTTCGCACGGCGGGCGTTTCGCACGGGGGTGCAGGGTGGGCTGAGGATTCGCCGTGCATGCGGACGGTTCTAGTGATGGCCCCCCCCTTCCACACACAAAAAACACAAAGAAACAATAGAGGCACACACACATATTTAAATTAATTAGTGTGTTTGTCGTTCTTTATGCTTTGGCATGGGTGACTGCAGGTGCCCTACTACTTGCGAGCGCAGGCTGATGAAGCTCCACCAAAATCCAGTCTAATTATATTTTAGTAATATGTTTAATACACCTGTTTAAAAGTTTAGACATTCAAATCACAGAAATCTGCTTTGCACATTATTAGCTTGGCTTACAATTGGGGTAATTTCATGGGATGAGTGATTCAGTGATGTATCATTACTCGACCCGACTTTCGGGTTGTTGGCTCCCATCAATGGCGCTGAAAGAGGTAGCAACCTCAGTGATGCGCATCGATCCTATGATGTGATGCATCAACAAAGCACGACATTGTAAGTGACAACACGTGATCAATGGTCCTTGCGTCTTAGGTCTTAGGTCCTAAAGGTGACCACCCCATCTTTATTGGAAGAGGAGCTGATAGAACACTCCATGGCACAAGAAACAGCTAGGCTTGCTAGGTTGGCTTGAAGTCATGGGGACCTCAGAAACGCTGCGGAGAATTGCAGAAGCAATGCCTCCATGACTGTTAGGCAGAACGTGACAGAGCCTTTGGTCTAGTTCCGCATGTGGCAGCTCAGTAGTGTTCGAACAACTAACTCACCGAATCGTCGGTCGTGTTCAACCAATCTTCCAGGGCATGTTCCTTATGAATCCAACAGGTTCCTTAACCGGTCCAGGTACCTCCTTTTCGGATGGTCGAATGGAGGTGAGTACGGAACGGGGGGTACATCCGATTCGGATGGTCCTGGACCCTTAGGGTCAGAATTTACCCTGCAGACTCTTCACCAACCAACCCTCAATTGGAATAACGGAAATGACACCAACTCTCAGAGAAGCCTGGACTTGACGACCTGCTCACGTAGGTTCGGCCGAGCCCGGCGCTTTAGCAGGCGTGGGGGGCATCGTTTTGGTGCCTCTTGGGGGTTCGTTTGCGAAGGGGTCGAATCCACCAAATCTAAACAGATGTGTGGGTGGATTGAATCCTTGGTGGTGGTAGTTTCAGATATGTTGTCGGAGTTTCAGATAGAGTTGAAACATGTTGAAACGAAATCTGTTTGGGTGGAAGTTTCAGTTCTTCAACCTTTACTAGGGATCCAGTCGTGCCTCCTCAAAAGGTACTTGGAGCCTCCTGGCACCCACCCCAAACACCTGGTACTTGGATTCTTTAGGGACCTTTACTTGGGAAGATTGAATCCCACTAGCTAGCATGTTTTTGTTAGTGAGTGGAATCCACCGGGCAGATGTACGTGGTCTAAAGCGTGTCCACCTTTTCAACGTGTTCCAAGATGTTTTGAAGACTTCTCCCCGAAGTTCACCGGATATTTTTTGGATAGTATTTTACAATCAAACACGTCCTTGTCTTGTAGGAGCATCTAACACAGGGATTCCATAGGCAATATCCTTTCCAGAAAGGTTTCAGCTTGCAGTAATTACTCATCTCCACAATTTACTCGAATGTGTTCACCTTTTGGATGGACAGTCCATCCTCCATCTAGGAACCATATTTAAACCTGAAATGCTGCCGGTCATACTGCAATACTAGGCCGTGCTACCCCAAAATGCCGCGCTGAATAAGATCTTTAGTTCCAGTCAGGAGTTCTCTCAAGAAGCTTATGACTCTTGCAGGTCATTGCACTGAGGACAGTGGACGTCAAGATGACTGGCAGTACATCCCACAGGAAGTTTTTGGAAGTACATCCCACCTCTAAGACTCACCCTGAAGGGTCTTCCCCCTTCTCCCAGAACCGCCCAAAAACTGTGTTTGGGGGCAGCGTGGGTTTCTGAAATCAAAGAACACCGATTCGAAATCACCTCGCGTTCGCCCATGAAGAATCTTCCAACTCGTCACGTTTTCGTGTTCCTTGCGTTCTTTGCTCGTACTGGTATGTAGTATTCGTTTTCTTAACATCAATTTTCTTGATCATCTCCACCTACCCCTTGCAGTTCATGGACAATATGGACCTGGTCAGGAGGCGTCTCGTTCTATTTGTCAATTCTGCATTGTGATGACGGCCCGGGACTGCTAAAAAGGCGATGTCCCGTCGGGGCTCACTGTTTCTCTCTCTCTCTCTCTCCCCACGTTTTGGACACCAAACGGAATGCCTTATTTGGGCTACCCAACCTCCTCCCTTCATGGACCAACATAGAAGGCTGGATGGCGCAGGGAAGGGTGGGGTCCAAGAGGGTTGTCATGAGTCATGACCATTGCATGCTGGCTGACCTGCTGGCTGCGAAGCCGCACCGCCAGGAACATGGACGACACCCCTGGGCCCTGCCAGTGCGCAGTTGGCCTACGTCTACCTAACGCATGACGTGCGTGGTTTGGCTGGTGCTTTTCAAGAGGCCCAAAACTCTACTACGGCCTTCCAACAGGGGATTTTTGGGCACCCCGAATCACCTCTAAGAGGCTATTTACAGACACCTCTTTGGAGGGTCTTTGTCGTGTTTATTAACGACGACACGTCATTTTCCTCAAGACTCGCAGTCC